TGCGCGATGATGGAGGAGCACCGTAAAAACCTTAAAAAACAAACATGTTATTATTATATAATGCGACAAAAATAAAAAATAATTGAACCTTCTGATCCCGCAAATATATGTCCAGCTTGGATTGTGTTTAAGGAACGAAGCTGAATAGGGGCAGTTATATTTCCTTGTGCTTCGGGAACCTTAGTGGGTGGAGATTCCTTTGTAACACTATCGGATGTTTTGAACGAATATGGAGATTTAATTATTCCAGTAGATGAATTTGCAATACTGGCTGAAGTAGAAGCAGAAGCCGCTGCAGCTACTGCAGCCGCTGTCTGTTGCTTTTGTAAAGTGTCCCGTAGTGGTGTAATTTTCTTTCGACGTCCTCGGGGCTTAACTTCGGACTCGGGCGTTGGAGCCGATGCTTTGTTTTGCGACTGCATATTTATTTGCTGTGTCGATTTAACAATTAAAGGTGAAGACGTTCGACATGGAGGATTGACGGGAGTTGGAGAAGATTGTACTTGTGCATTGTTTGTCATTCGAGAAATTAGAGAGATTGATTATTTTGTGAAGTTGGTGGCATTGAGTATGAACTAGGGAACGATTGATTTACGGGCGAGGATAGATTTTGTGAAGTTGGTGGCATTGAGTATGAACTAGGGAACGATTGATTTACGGGCGAGGATAGAGCATTCTGTAATAAATGAGTCAAATGAGGAGTAATATTACGTTGAACTGCATTATGCACCCCGTGCATATTGTCATGCTGTTGGTGACGTAAAAGGGGAGGATGCATTGTAGGCATAGGAAAGCGTTTTCTAACAGGTTCTTGGAGCCCAGAAGGAGAAGCAGTTATCACTGGTTGTAGAGGTGCAGCTGCAGTCGTCATCGTCTAATTCACTTTCAGTATAATCAGATTCAACTTTTCGCTTCTTCTTCGATTTTGGTTTTTGTACCTCTTCATCGTCGTCGCTATTGTCTACTATAAATTTTCTATCCCTGCGACGTTCTCGGAAAGCACGCCTTGCTGCTTTTCTCTGCTTCTTTCTCGAATTACCTTTACGTTTATATATTTCCAGACTTGAATCACTATTTATTGAACACGAACCAAAACTCTCGTCTTCTTCGTCCACCGACGAACCCTTAAAATCTTCATCTGACGCATCGTCGCCTTCTGAACTAATATCTAGCGTTGTAAGTTTACGTGATTTTTTCTTCATTGTTGACTTAGGCTGAACCAGGTCCTTTATTAGCTCATCTTCGCTCTCGCTTTCAATATTTTTTGTGTCACCTTTTTCAGTACTATCATCAGCCTTTTCCTCTTTTTCCACCTGTACATCTGAACTTTCCAGATGCTTCTGCCGAGCTTTCTCCTCTTTATCTGCTTCTATTATCGTTGATATATCTTTTCCTCGGCCTAAATTACCTGCTCCAGCAACCTCGTCCATTTCCTTTTTAAGCGCAGAGTTTATATGATCATCATATTAATTTAATCTGTAACTAACGTTTAATTGCCTTCTTTTCCTTAATTTATATATTGGTTCGTCATCACTATCAGAAAATGAAGACGAGGATTCGCTTTTTGATGCACTTTCTGAATTGGAGGTTCCACGAGAATTACTGTCGCTTGTAACGTGGTTTTTCCGTCTATGACTTCTAGTATTACGACCTGAATATTGTCGACGATCATTTCGTCTGCGTTTGTCAATTGTATTATTTTTCGATGATTTCTTGTTTTCAATTTCACTTTCACCAGAATTCGATTGATCATCACTATCGGCACTTGGATCAGTATTAATATCGCTGCTGCTATTATCCCGACCATTATCATATTTTTTAGATTTTCTTTTGTTCTGACTTGAAAGTTCCTCTTCTTCTTTCCGCCTTGCGTTTTCTTTCTCCTCCAAGCGTTTAACTTCCTCCTGTTCTTGTTTCTTACGCTCAACCATTTCATCAAATTCCTTCAACTGTCCTTCTAATGCTTTTATCAATTGTTCTTGTTGGCATGGGGGACAATACCAATCACCCTCTGGGATATAAAAAAGTACGGGCGAAAGACAGGAACAATGGTAACCCTTGTCACATTTATCACACAATAATATCCATTCGGGATGGTCCGATTTATGGCATTTTTGGCAAGCTTCTTCCTCATCTGGTTCGTTGTCTACATCATTTCCTTTGCGAGCAGTACGTGCCCTTTTCGTTGGTACTACTTGAATTTCATCCTCAATATCAGATTCGGGGGAAAATTCATGATCAGACTTGAAAAGAGGAGACCCAGGGTCCGTCTCATAATGATGATGCTCCTCGTCCTCTTCTTCATCTGGTTCTTCCTGTTCTTCCGATCCTGATGACCAACTGCCATTCTTGCCCGGACATTTCTTTTTTTGCACTTTTTTCTTCGTATCAATGTCACTCTCCGCCGATTCTGATGAGGGTTCTGAAGGTGGCAAGACTGTTGGAGCTGCTTGTTTTTCTGCCTTCTTTTTCTTCTTTAATTCCTGTTTCATAGTCCTTAAGGCAATTTCCTCAAGTTTGCGACGTTCCGCTTCCTCCCTAATTTTTAACTGCGCTATTCTCCTTGATTGTCGTACTGGTGTTTCCGCGTCGTCGCTTGTAACGTGGTTTTTCCGTCTATGACTTCTAGTATTACGACCTGAATATTGTCGACGATCATTTCGTCTGCGTTTGTCAATTGTATTATTTTTCGATGATTTCTTGTTTTCAATTTCACTTTCACCAGAATTCGATTGATCATCACTATCGGCACTTGGATCAGTATTAATATCGCTGCTGCTATTATCCCGACCATTATCATATTTTTTAGATTTTCTTTTGTTCTGACTTGAAAGTTCCTCTTCTTCTTTCCGCCTTGCGTTTTCTTTCTCCTCCAAGCGTTTAACTTCCTCCTGTTCTTGTTTCTTACGCTCAACCATTTCATCAAATTCCTTCAACTGTCCTTCTAATGCTTTTATCAATTGTTCTTGTTGGCATGGGGGACAATACCAATCACCCTCTGGGATATAAAAAAGTACGGGCGAAAGACAGGAACAATGGTAACCCTTGTCACATTTATCACACAATAATATCCATTCGGGATGGTCCGATTTATGGCATTTTTGGCAAGCTTCTTCCTCATCTGGTTCGTTGTCTACATCATTTCCTTTGCGAGCAGTACGTGCCCTTTTCGTTGGTACTACTTGAATTTCATCCTCAATATCAGATTCGGGGGAAAATTCATGATCAGACTTGAAAAGAGGAGACCCAGGGTCCGTCTCATAATGATGATGCTCCTCGTCCTCTTCTTCATCTGGTTCTTCCTGTTCTTCCGATCCTGATGACCAACTGCCATTCTTGCCCGGACATTTCTTTTTTTGCACTTTTTTCTTCGTATCAATGTCACTCTCCGCCGATTCTGATGAGGGTTCTGAAGGTGGCAAGACTGTTGGAGCTGCTTGTTTTTCTGCCTTCTTTTTCTTCTTTAATTCCTGTTTCATAGTCCTTAAGGCAATTTCCTCAAGTTTGCGACGTTCCGCTTCCTCCCTAATTTTTAACTGCGCTATTCTCCTTGATTGTCGTACTGGTGTTTCCGCGTCGTTGGCATCAATAATATTTGTGGTGTCAACCTCACGTTGCTTACGGACTCCTTTCACTACTTTTTTTGTTGACGGCTGGATTTTAGAAGTGTTTTTTTTTTGGGATTACTGGCGATTTTTCTTTTGAAGTCGTCTTTTCCATTGATTTCTTTTTAGATTCCGTTGCATCTTCCTCTTTCTTAGCAGTCTTATTTTGAATTGCTGAAACTGGAGGACCTTCTTCCCTGGAAGCCTAAAATATAAATTGTTATTTAGTTATAAATGGAGCGTAAATAGAAGCACATCAGCTTTTCTGTAAAGGTGCTGTATTTCGTTTGCAAAGTATTAAATAAACAAAAAAGTAATACCTTTTCAGATTCAGTTGCATCTTCCTCTTTTGTAACAGATTTATTTTGACTTACTGAAACTGGAGAACCGTCTTCGCTGGAAGCCTGAAATATAAATTGTTATTAGATTATGAATGAGGCGTGAAGGGAAATATACTACCTTTTCTGATTCACGCCTTTTGTTCGCAGGCACATCTTTCAAATTATTTGATTCAGGCATTGTGTAATTTTTCTTATCATGCACCTTCGGTTTATTAGATGTGATGTTGCTTCCATTACCCCGCCTCGTCGATCTACGACAAATTCTCGCAGTTTCAGAATCTCCCGTGGATGGAACATCTGTTTTACCTTGTACACCGAAATCGTTTCGTGGTACTTCCTTCTTTGCTTCGGGCTCCTCTGTGATAACATGTTGATCCGCCTCTTCGCTACTGTGCCGCTTTCTTTGGCGCTCTTGATTATTTCTATTGTCTACTACGGAAGTGGTCTCGTCTATTTTGTCATATTTTGTACTTGATGATTTTTCAGTAGTACTTTTCATTTCATTTTCTTCATGCCAAATTTGGGTTAATAGACTTTTCTTTAAAGGCTTTGTTACAGGGCTTTTTTTCGATGACGATGAATGATTCTTGGCGCTTTTCTTAGGACAAGTGCCAGCATCACTTTCTTCGTGCGCCTGTTTCAACTTTTTGTGAATAATTTCCTCTAATGTTGTTTTATTGTGAAAAATATTTGCATGTGAATCATTAAGGTTATTTGATGGAGAGGGGCGATTGTCTGACGTGTTGGTTGGTTCGGACTTAATGACTTCCTTTTCGATGTGTTTCTTTGGTGAAGTCAATTTTCTTCTTCTTTGCGGACACTCCTCACCTCCACTCGATGAATTAATATCCTCTTGCACTGCTGCTTTCATCGCCTCAACTTTTTTTCTTAACTCGGTGTTGCTTTGCTTCTGTCGCATTTTCAGCCGCTTTCCACCGACGTCGTGTTCGTCTACGTCCAAATCTTGCTCATTATTGTAGTCTTCAGTGTTTTCCGAGTTTATATCTATTTCGCTTTCCGACTGCAAATTAATCTGACTTTGTTGAGTGGAATAGTTAGCCAGCCGCCTCTTTCGATTGATACTGGGAGGGTTCGCATCATTTTCTTCAACAGTTTTTAATATAATCGAATCTTTGTCTGCATTTGCCCCTACAACTTCAGTAGATGCCGGTTTCTTTCTATTTTCTCGTCGCCTCAACTTTTTTTCTTAACTCGGTGTTGCTTTGCTTCTGTCGCATTTTCAGCCGCTTTCCACCGACGTCGTGTTCGTCTACGTCCAAATCTTGCTCATTATTGTAGTCTTCAGTGTTTTCCGAGTTTATATCTATTTCGCTTTCCGACTGCAAATTAATCTGACTTTGTTGAGTGGAATAGTTAGCCAGCCGCCTCTTTCGATTGATACTGGGAGGGTTCGCATCATTTTCTTCAACAGTTTTTAATATAATCGAATCTTTGTCTGCATTTGCCCCTACAACTTCAGTAGATGCCGGTTTCTTTCTATTTTCTCGTCGGCTTTATCTATGCATACAATAGTTTTATTTTTAAGATTTCTTGTTATTCGGGATTTTGGGGTACAGTTTTGAGAACCTAATATTTCAGCACGCTCTTCCTCAACATCATTTCGAATATTTTCTGCAATTTCATTTTTGTTTTTCCTTATTTTCTATCTCGTTAACAGTTTTTCTACTGTCGAGATCAACATCTCCTTCTGTTTGGTGACTCGAATTTATTTGTTCAGTTTCATTAACTGAGTCAACTTCTAGGTTGTCCTTCTGCGTAGAATCACTTGTCACGTTATTCTCGTTTTTTGTATTGCCAATTAAACAATCTGTACCTGATCCTTCTCCGCATACAAAAATTATATCATCTTCAATGACATCGCTCATACAACATTAGGAATATCGTGGTCATAAAATTCGTCAATTATCTGTAGTTTCTTTTTAATGTTCTCTCCTGTTTTTGTTACCTCGCTATCCCCCTAGTCAGTATTGTCGACATCATCAGATTTCTTATATAATTTGTTCAACTTGTTGTCTGAGCGCAAATGTTTTTCATCTTGAACAGAGTCACTGCTATTATCATGTTTTGATAGGAATATTCACGACTTTCGATTGCTTGTTTCCAGCAGTTTTTGTTTTGATTTCTTAAATATTATAGTCTTTTGTGATATTAATAATGCCTAAAGCGAATTATAGTTTTTTGCAAATTGTTCAAAATGACATGGAATTTTTAATTCCTCACCTCAACTCTTCTCACTTTTCCTTCGCTTTTCATTTCTTACTTTCGTACTTATCTTCATTTTCATCATCACACTCATTTTCATTATTACATACAAATTCCTGGTATTCCCTATCCATATTGGCTATTTACAGTTGTAATATTTTTCGAGGCTGAAATGTAAAACATAATGTATATTTTATTGGGAACAATATCCAAATATTATTAAAAAAGGCTTACCTCAAATGCTCAGTATATTATTATCCTTATTTTTGAATATTTTGCAAGCATCAAATTTAGTTATCTGATATTTTATACATACTTGAGGTAATTTTTGTTCGTTGCTGTTGGTATCCCTTCTGAATTATGATAATTAATTGATCCTATAATGTTATTGCTGGTAACGTCAACAACTATGACAATTTTATTTAAAGGCACTACAATTTCCTTTAATTGCAAACATTATTATTCAAATTGCAAACATTATTATCATTAAAACATTGGAGTAAAAATAAAAATATCTATATTTTGGCTCCGGTTTACAAGACTGCGTTTAAATTTGTACAAACCCGATTTGATCAAAATTCAATGTGAAGAAATTAAAATACGCTAATTGTTGGTTATATATAATATTTATTTGAGTTTTAATAAACATATACGAAAACAAATATGTTAAAACAACGATACATTTGTAATGCTTAAAACTATAACTAATTGTTTTTAAATTCAATAGTAATATGCCAGGTAATAAATAAATTTAGCTTTGAAAAGACACATTTTCCACTCTGCGTTTGATTGCCATTAATAAGGCATAACGTTGAAGACCAACATCAGATAAAGAGATGATCGTGATCGGTACATGCAATTACAATTCATCATTGGATACGCACAGTCTTGCTTCAACATAAATTCATACAACATTAACATTATACAGAAGCGAATTTCTTGTGTACTTATTGTTAAAATTGAGAATACCCAAATTTGTCGCGCCAATTAGCTGCGATGGTATGGTTTAGTACGCATTTGTTACTAAAAATACTGTTTTTATAACCTATTTCTATGTTAGTTAACAAATGAATTGCTGTTTGGATAATGTATGTGTATACTGCGATTATAACCCAATGAAAATCGACATGCTATACATTTATATGCACTCTTATTCTTAGAATTACCATTCTTTTTTTTCAAAAGAGAACAAAATGTAACCACGAAATCTCATTCAATTTTACTGTACTAAATGCTTTCCAAGCAATTGCTTTGTATGGTTTATCGTACCAAAATGTTATAGAGTTTTACTCTATAATAGGTAAAGGGTTAACTTTCGTACAGTTTACCACAGATAAGCATGACTTCCATATGTATGTGGAATATTAGGTAAAAACTGCAATAATATATGTTATGTGTATAAGGCCCTATGGAATGTTATATATACGGTTTAAGTTTTTCAGTTTAACAAAAATGTCTATGATTGGAATATGTTACAGCTTTCTATGAAAACAGGTTACTACGTCGCTTTAGAGAACCGAATTTTTTGTCCGAATCAAGGGTGATTTTATCGTGGCGCACAACTTCAAATGGTAAGGCTGTTTTTGTAGGAGTGCTTTCGGATTCGTGATCTGATGGGAAATCCTCGAAAGACATATTGCTAAACCCAGTTTTGGTAGAATTAGTAGCTGAACTAAAAGGAATGGATGAAGCAGTTTGTGCGGTTTTTTGTGTATTGGAAGTGGTTTTGTTAGGTAATACATCATCTTGGCCATCATCGTCGTACTCATTGGTATGGGATTTATACTTTGGGGAACGTTTCTGTTTAGAAGAGCTGGCGCATACGTTAGAAGTTGATGCCAAATCTTTCGTGCCGAAATTCGTATGTAAATAATCGGTAGAGACTTTTTTGTAAAATTTCGCAGGCACAGTTCGAGCAACGAAACTAGACTTTTTCTCAGTCTGCTTGGACAGTAGCGATGTGTCTGTTGTGACAACTGAAAAATTTTTCAATTTTTTGATACCATGGTCAACGGGGGCAAGGTGATCTGATTCAGAAATGACAGGTTCTTCCTCATCGTCAGGTGTAAAATCGGATATGCGTTCATGGGAATCATGCATCAATGCTTTGTCAGCTATAGGAAAAATAGTCCGATTCTCAATATAGCTGGTATTTAAGGGATTTGCTGTACCAAAAGCATCGAATTTTGATATACCGGAGGAACTATTAACCACGGGTTTCTTTTGTGGATGTTCGACAAATGAAGATGTAGTTTGTAGGAATTTAGGTACATTGACGTAAGGTGGTTGGCATTTGTTTCCATTTACAGAAAATAAATGTTGATTCTGATGAGGGTTCTGAAGGTGGCAAGACTGTTGGAGCTGCTTGTTTTTCTGCCTTCTTTTTCTTCTTTAATTCCTGTTTCATAGTCCTTAAGGCAATTTCCTCAAGTTTGCGACGTTCCGCTTCCTCCCTAATTTTTAACTGCGCTATTCTCCTTGATTGTCGTACTGGTGTTTCCGCGTCGTTGGCATCAATAATATTTGTGGTGTCAACCTCACGTTGCTTACGGACTCCTTTCACTACTTTTTTTGTTGACGGCTGGATTTTAGAAGTGTTTTTTTTTGGGGATTACTGGCGATTTTTCTTTTGAAGTCGTCTTTTCCATTGATTTCTTTTTAGATTCCGTTGCATCTTCCTCTTTCTTAGCAGTCTTATTTTGAATTGCTGAAACTGGAGGACCTTCTTCCCTGGAAGCCTAAAATATAAATTGTTATTTAGTTATAAATGGAGCGTAAATAGAAGCACATCAGCTTTTCTGTAAAGGTGCTGTATTTCGTTTGCAAAGTATTAAATAGACAAAAAAGTAATACCTTTTCAGATTCAGTTGCATCTTCCTCTTTTGTAACAGATTTATTTTGACTTACTGAAACTGGAGAACCGTCTTCGCTGGAAGCCTGAAATATAAATTGTTATTAGATTATGAATGAGGCGTGAAGGGAAATATACTACCTTTTCTGATTCACGCCTTTTGTTCGCAGGCACATCTTTCAAATTATTTGATTCAGGCATTGTGTAATTTTTCTTATCATGCACCTTCGGTTTATTAGATGTGATGTTGCTTCCATTACCCCGCCTCGTCGATCTACGACAAATTCTCGCAGTTTCAGAATCTCCCGTGGATGGAACATCTGTTTTACCTTGTACACCGAAATCGTTTCGTGGTACTTCCTTCTTTGCTTCGGGCTCCTCTGTGATAACATGTTGATCCGCCTCTTCGCTACTGTGCCGCTTTCTTTGGCGCTCTTGATTATTTCTATTGTCTACTACGGAAGTGGTCTCGTCTATTTTGTCATATTTTGTACTTGATGATTTTTCAGTAGTACTTTTCATTTCATTTTCTTCATGCCAAATTTGGGTTAATAGACTTTTCTTTAAAGGCTTTGTTACAGGGCTTTTTTTCGATGACGATGAATGATTCTTGGCGCTTTTCTTAGGACAAGTGCCAGCATCACTTTCTTCGTGCGCCTGTTTCAACTTTTTGTGAATAATTTCCTCTAATGTTGTTTTATTGTGAAAAATATTTGCATGTGAATCATTAAGGTTATTTGATGGAGAGGGGCGATTGTCTGACGTGTTGGTTGGTTCGGACTTAATGACTTCCTTTTCGATGTGTTTCTTTGGTGAAGTCAATTTTCTTCTTCTTTGCGGACACTCCTCACCTCCACTCGATGAATTAATATCCTCTTGCACTGCTGCTTTCATCGCCTCAACTTTTTTTCTTAACTCGGTGTTGCTTTGCTTCTGTCGCATTTTCAGCCGCTTTCCACCGACGTCGTGTTCGTCTACGTCCAAATCTTGCTCATTATTGTAGTCTTCAGTGTTTTCCGAGTTTATATCTATTTCGCTTTCCGACTGCAAATTAATCTGACTTTGTTGAGTGGAATAGTTAGCCAGCCGCCTCTTTCGATTGATACTGGGAGGGTTCGCATCATTTTCTTCAACAGTTTTTAATATAATCGAATCTTTGTCTGCATTTGCCCCTACAACTTCAGTAGATGCCGGTTTCTTTCTATTTTCTCGTCGGCTTTATCTATGCATACAATAGTTTTATTTTTAAGATTTCTTGTTATTCGGGATTTTGGGGTACAGTTTTGAGAACCTAATATTTCAGCACGCTCTTCCTCAACATCATTTCGAATATTTTCTGCAATTTCATTTTTGTTTTTCCTTATTTTCTATCTCGTTAACAGTTTTTCTACTGTCGAGATCAACATCTCTTTCTGTTTGGTGACTCGAATTTATTTGTTCAGTTTCATTAACTGAGTCAACTTCTAGGTTGTCCTTCTGCGTAGAATCACTTGTCACGTTATTCTCGTTTTTTGTATTGCCAATTAAACAATCTGTACCTGATCCTTCTCCGCATACAAAAATTATATCATCTTCAATGTTGATACAAAAATTATATCATCTTCAATGACATCGCTCATACAACATTAGGAATATCGTGGTCATAAAATTCGTCAATTATCTGTAGTTTCTTTTTAATGTTCTCTCCTGTTTTTGTTACCTCGCTATCCCCCTAGTCAGTATTGTCGACATCATCAGATTTCTTATATAATTTGTTCAACTTGTTGTCTGAGCGCAAATGTTTTTCATCTTGAACAGAGTCACTGCTATTATCATGTTTTGATAGGAATATTCACGACTTTCGATTGCTTGTTTCCAGCAGTTTTTGTTTTGATTTCTTAAATATTATAGTCTTTTGTGATATTAATAATGCCTAAAGCGAATTATAGTTTTTTGCAAATTGTTCAAAATGACATGGAATTTTTAATTCCTCACCTCAACTCTTCTCACTTTTCCTTCGCTTTTCATTTCTTACTTTCGTACTTATCTTCATTTTCATCATCACACTCATTTTCATTATTACATACAAATTCCTGGTATTCCCTATCCATATTGGCTATTTACAGTTGTAATATTTTTCGAGGCTGAAATGTAAAACATAATGTATATTTTATTGGGAACAATATCCAAATATTATTAAGAAATGCTTACCTCAAATGCTCAGTATATTATTATCCTTATTTTTGAATATTTTGCAAGCATCAAATTTAGTTATCTGATATTTTATACATACTTGAGGTAATT